CTCGCATCAAATCGGAGAATCTCATGCTCGACAGGCATATTGACCGTTCTACCATACAGATAGATTCGCAAAGGGTTCCTCAAAGGTATTGAGAGAAGAGTATATGCTGACAGCATTTCCAGCATGCGTTTCCAGCAAAAGAGTAGGTATATATCGGAGCTGCATTATGGATGGAAGTATAGAAGGAAGAACGGGAAATTCAGGAGAAAATACTCTGGTATAGTGCTCCTCTCGCATACATCCAGGATATGTATGCAAAACTCATTATATTCTTTTATATCGCCTATTTATGTATATATATACCTTATATATATCACAAAATAGATCCATTCTTGTCGACAAATCTGACGCTACAACGAGAATAGATGAAAAATTCTTACGAAAAAGTATAAGTTATGTGTACATCCAGGGTGATCCACGTTCAAGTATAATTTTTTTTTTTTGAATGAGGTCCTGCTGTATACTATGATATATCTGGATAGAGGTTACACACACAAAAATAATCTCTTGTATTAAGCATGACTGCATTGGTCCAAGGAAATAATTTGTTTGTATATAACAAAAGAGATGATATTCTTGTTCCGAAACAATCATTTATTCAATAAGTCTTTTGTTGGAAAATTGAGATATGCATGGTTGAAGAAGTTTAAAGTGGGAATGTAATCAATTCATATTGACAAAATCAAAATGAATTATTGAATCAAAATATTGCTTCTTCAATTCGAGAAATTATAATATCATCAAGTTAAAGATATTACATCCCTTTCATTTGAGCAAATTGATATTCATATTTTCGAATCAAGTAAATATGGCATAGAATAGACGTATCAGAAGTCTTCAATTTGATATATATTCATATTTTTGTACCAAGAAAATTACGTATTGCCTCAACATATTAGGTTTTTGCAATTTGAGAAAACTGTATATATCATTCGGTGAAATGAGCATTCTTTAATTTGATGAAATCCTGGGACTATAACTACTTAATGTGGCATTTGAGAAATATGATTTTCCACTGATTTGAGCAAAAAATATATAATTCAATAATCCGTTCAAAGGAACTGAAATTCTGACAGGAAAGTATATATCCTGACTACTCCTGAGAAGATTATTGTATGTAAGACAACAACTCAGCATTGGCTAGTTCAATAAGTATAGTTTGATCTATACCCTATCTATTGAACAATTATTTTCATTGCGAAGACCGAAATGGTTACAATTCGAGTTACAATTGAACTCAAAATACTGAAGACAATATTATTGACCAGTTTGTAAACGAATAGAACATCAAAACATAATCTCCTATCTTCTAAGGAGTTGCGGTTTGACTTATATGAATAATAGTGACGCTGTTTGGTGAATTTGTATTTTATGAAATTTATCAAACTATGTTGCACTCTTTCAATACGTGAAGTGTATTTAATATAAAATGAATTAGTCTGAAATCCATTTCCAACTCCAATATTGGTCTAACAATTACAATGTTAAAATTTGTGTACATGACCTGAAGAGATAACTAACCTGTCTATCTTATTTGTCTATATATTACGAGGAATCATCCCCTGTAGTTTGTCGCACTTATTCACTAACACCCTGTATACCTATTCAATCTGGAGTGATCGTAAATTCCCGCTGGCCTGGTGAAGCAGGGGTCTGTTTCCGTTCATGAAAACACAAAAGGCTCTCAAGGAACTTTAGTGGCGGAAAATGATGTCGACATCAAGTGTTATATTATTATGCATTTATAAGTGTAGGTATATGTAACGCTCCTGGCTCCGAAAGTATATGGATAGTCTCTGTATATTATTATGTTCCGGCATAAATTCACTGATGGGGATTTTACCTCGGCTTTATACGTTATGATATGGGACGTGAAAAAGGTGATGGGAGAAGACGTAATGTAATGCACATACGGAACTTTATATGAATTTTAAACGACCATTGTATCTTTAAATCAAAAAAACCACCATACGTACCTCAAAGTAGTCTAAGATTTTTCATACGCATCAAAGAACTCACTGAATATGAATGAAATAATTACATGAGGTTTATAATATAACGGTTTGTCTGTAAGGCTAGAAATTTGTTTAGTTATGAATCAAATGGTATTTAGTAAGAACACCATATGACCTCTGGCCGGCCTCACCCTTGCACGTCACCATCTCCCATATTTTTTGAAGAGTAAAATTAGTAAAAAATAGGATCAAAAGTGACACTTTGTTTGACGCATTTTGCATTTGCGAGGCGTCTAGCGAAGCCGAGCGAAAGCAAACTTAATGAGTCAAAAACTGTCACTGTTCAGATTGTAGTTTCAATATAAATACAACCACAGGGCACAGAGTGATCTCTCTTGTGTATTCTATTGAATCGATGAATTTATTTGGACCAGGTGTCTGCCCTAATGGCAAATACCGCGCCAGTGCCAGTTGTATAAGGATAAATAAGTGGAAAATGTTAGGCTAGTGAGCGTATCAACAATCCTAAAAGCGATTACTTATTTCTCTTCATATTCCACTGTATTTGGCTCGGTAATCAAATGAAGGTAAACAATATCGTTGTGTGAGGCAGAAAGGTACTGCTGGCCGTGATTATTCGAAACAAGTTTTCCAATCAATCAGATTCCGAGAATAACGAATGAAATACAAATCGAGCAAGTTTGTGGAACTTGAAGGCTTTCCTGATAAAAACAGAAATACTTAACTATATGGTGTATTTTTTTCTCCAGCATGGGTATGAAATGCCAATTCTGCCGAAATCGGAACAAAACAAGTATGCATCCCAACCCCAGTAACCAATCGTAACAATGTTGTTTATTCTTGATGACCTACATTTTTAGTTCCTAGAAGCTGAAGTTCAACTTTAGCTCCTAGGAACTAAAAGTGTTGCCTAGCAACATACCTCTGTTCGTATCAGTAATAGAAACGTCAATTCAATAGCTAATTTTGGTATTGAAACCGATGACTTTTGTGTTCAAAAGTGAGGGAAATATAATTTGTTGACCAAAATTGTTTGACCTGACCAGCCATTTCGATTCATATTATTTGATGATAAATTCATTGGATTGGATACATTGTTACTAACGGTGAAATAGTATGAATTCACCCCCTCAGAAGGGTAGTTTACTCTAGCTGTTTTTCCTTGTTGACCGAGCATTTCTGGTTCGAAGTTTTGCTTAAAATTGCACATAAAATACCGTTGTTACTTTTCCTATCAGTTGAAAGATAGTTCTGATACAGGGTGGGGGGCAACCAATATGCAACATTTTTAATATTTTAATTCCGCCCTGTATCTCTCTGGGCTATGAAAATTTTGTTCGCGGTATGGTGAGTTTCACAAATCACAAAAAGGTATACCCATCGTTCGGGATAACCGCAAATCTCTATCTTTGAAAATAAATGAGATATCCCGTAATAAAGCGTGTATAATATAGTACCGTGGCCTCCTTAGGGTTTAAATGCAATGTATTAATTACGATAATATCCTGTACCTGTATGAAGGTGACAAATGACAACGATGTAGTCCTCTGCGGCGTAGTCCGGAAAACTCATACTTCCCGGACTAGGATAGAAAGGTCTGGGAATGGGTTGCCGAACAAAACTGAAACTACACTTATATGAAACTTTTGAAAGATTACATTCTAGAAATGTTTCTACCGATTGTCATAAAAATCTGGAAATCCGCGTTTTTGAGCTGTGTCAGCTCTGAAAAGGGGGTGGGTGGGATATCCCAATGTATACAGTGTCTTTCAAAAGTATCGGAACGGCCTCATATTTCAGGAAAGGCTTGAGACAAATTCACGAAATTTTCTACAGGGTGATTATTGATGATGTCCGATTCAATGGTGGCATCGGCAATGTTGCCAAGTTCACAGTTTTTCAGATATTAGGAGTAACTTTATTTTTTCAAATGGAATACCCCATTTATTTTTCTTGCAATTAATTAAGCGCCTCCTAATTACTTTAGTCCCTAAATATCAGATTCGTAATTAACGTGATTTTCGAAATATGACAACATAGCATTTTCGTTAAAAAGTTCTGGAACGGTCCCATATGTCAGAAACGGCTCAGAGAAAATTCATGAAAACTTCGACAGGATGGTTGTTGATGATGCCCAATTCAATAGTGATATCGGCAATGTTGCCAAATCAACAGTTTTTCAGAATTGATCGCAATAAAATTTCATATTTTTGCGTGCCCTTTTGAAAATATTGGAGCGTTCGCGGACATTTCAACGGAGCATGTTCTCATATTTAAAAAACCATAATTATTTTAAATTTGATATTTGAAGACATAAGTAATAAGGGGAGCTGAATTGATTGCAACGAAAATAAATTGGGTTTTCCATTTGAAGATAATTAATTACCCTCAATATCTGAAAAACTATTGATTTGGCAACATTGCCGATATCACCATTGAATCGGGCATCATCGGAAACCATCCTGTATAAAATTTCATGAATTTTCCTTGAACCGTATTGAAAATATTAGAAGGTTCCCAGACTTTTGAACGAAAATGCCATGTTGTCATATTTCGAAAACCACTTCAATTTAAAATCTGATATTTGAAGACATAAGTAATGAGGCGTCGCTGAATTTATTTGCAATGAAAACAAATAGGGTATTCCATTTGAAAAAATTGAGTTACCCTAAATATCTGAAAAACTGTTGATTTGGCAACATTGCCGATATCACCATTGAATTGGGCATCATCAACAACCATCCTGTCGAAGTTTTCATAAATTTTCTCTGAGCCGTTTCTGACATATGGGACCGTTCCAGAACTTTTTAACGAAAATGCTATGTTGTCATATTTCAAAAATCACGTTAATTACGAATCTGATATTCAGGGACTCGAGTAATTAGGAGGTGCTTAATTGATTGCAATAAAAATAAATGGGGTATTCCATTTGAAAAAATGAAGTTACTCCTAGTATCTGAAAAACTGTGAACTTGGCAACATTGCCGATGCCACGATTGAATCGGACATCATCAATAATCACCCTGTAGAAAATTTCGTGAATTTTTCTCAAGCCGTTCCTGAAATATGAGACCGTTCCGATACTTTTGAAAGACACTGTATATTTATCTTTGTTTCAGAGAGGCAGTGACGAACTCCTGTCGCAGTCGAACGTGTCAGTAATGGCGCCATCTGCACCACACGCGGACAACAATAACCAGGAAAATGCCAAAAAGGTGAGCGACACATATTGTATTTTGACAGGTAAACAATAGTATATTGTTTAACGAGCACGGAATGATAGTGATTTTCTATACGAGAAGGAAGTTTGCATCATGAGCCATAGGCGAATGCTGCAATCATTCGAGTAGGAAATTAGCATTACGTGCAAGTTATACACTATAATTTTTCTACGGCTATAATAGATAACAGCGGCATTTTCGATTCCTTCGATATATTCATGTATGAGGAATACTTACTTTGGAAACTATGACAATAATCTACATTCGGATTAACTCAGAAGATTTGATGACAAATATCACCTACTAAACAACAAACTCAACGTCGATGAATTATTGATGAGGTATACTGTAGATTGCTGAATAAAATGGTTTAATTTTTGGTAATGTCGATCATTTCATTCTTCGTTTTCTGTTTCAAAAAACTAATATGATGTTCGTTGATGCGGTAGTTGAAAATTCTACCTGTCTGGCCAATATTCTTCTTATAATCACTTTTGTCGTAAACGACTTGTTTTCATGTACTTCCAAGAATAATCAAATACCGGTAATAGTAAGTGAAATTCGTGAAGACCCTTTTAGCTAAATATCGCATTGACTTCACGTTGAGACAATGATTAATCATAGCAAATGTCGACTATGGGTATTAAGGCGGTACCCACAAACATTAATTTCGTGATGGGACAGAACATTTCAAACAACATTAATTGATGATACATTATTTAATAGTAAAAGCTTTCAGATTAATACATTATGGACTCAAATGAATTGAGTGAGTTGATTCAAAATTACCTAATGGGTATTCTGTATAACAAGAGTCCTTTATATGGATAATAAATAGAGTGCTTTCCTAAAGTACAGAATACCGTATTTTTTGGTTGAACAGGATCTTTCTGAAACAGATCGATTTTCAATCTCAATTTATCACTTAAACCAGAAACTTAAATATTCAGGGTGATCCACATTTGAGTTATGACGTTTGCGACAATTTATTTCAAATTCAACATCCTGTATCTCAAAAACGAAGCAAGTTATATATCATTAACTCCTGATTTTTATTTGCACTTATACATTCGCACCCTGTATACATTGCAGGAGGTCCAACATTCGTCAGAATGAATGATTTTTCGGAAAGTTGAAGGAAAGAGTCGACATTTTGAGGTAAAAGTCGGAATTTCAACAATATAGTCGAAATTTCGAAGAGAAGTCCGATTTTCAATCGATTGAAAGAAAAACATGGTTCTAGTCTAGTTGATATATTATATCCACATATTTTCTCATCGTTGAAGCCGCTGGTGAACTACTACTAGTGAACACTATAATTTCTCTACGGCAGTAACAAATAACAGTGACATTTTTGATTTCTTCGTCCTGTAGCCATCTGATTTCCTCTCAAGTAATGCTCATCTATTTGACAGAGCTGTCATTGCTTGAAATTTGACATTCCATGAGCGATGAGATTTCTCTGAACTGATAACACAATGGAGTCATCGAGACATACAAAGTATCCCATTGATCTATCGAACACAGTGAAACAAAAGCAATTTTGTGTTATAGCCTTAGAAAAAAGAATTTTTCAAATCGGTCTAATATTTACGGAGCATATTCAATACAAACAAACAAAGAAACAAACAAATTTTTCCCTCTTTATAATATAGGTATAGTTTAGAAGCTGTTGAAGTGTGAAGTAGATTTTCGCACGAAATGAAAATCCGAGTTATTGTGAAGCAGTTTTCGCCATGGATCGGACATGATTTTTCCATGAAAGAGTATTGCTGATGGAAATACCGAGCATAGATATACACATAAAAACTGACTATAGAACATTCAGACTAAAACAACCACATCCCGCTAGAATCGGCCACGACCCTGATTATTCTATTACATGTAAAATTCCGTTACAGAATCGGACAGGTTTTTTTCAAAATATTTGGTTCTGGAAGAAGATGAAGAAATATTCAGCTGGACCACTTCATATTTTGTCCATCAGTGGACTTGGTAACGCCGGGGAACGCTCTGGAAAATTGCATAAAACGCTAACTAAACCCCCGGATGATTGATTCCCGGAGGAGCAGGGCATTCTCGAAGCGGGCTATTCAGAGCCGTAATATTCAATTTGAATGGAACGGCCTTCAACCCCCCCTCCTCTCTTTCACCCCCCTTTATCTCGGAGCTTCCCATTTACCTGTCTCGTTCACGGACAAAGCGGAAACTTTCGATACAAAAAGCGCCGGTAATGCGTCCACATTATGGACGACAGGCGCCGTACACAGCAATAACGGCGTCAGTGGCGTAAATCAAAATGTCTGACCTCTCCCTGTGAGGATTTCTTTCAGGACCACGAAGTGATGAGGCTATGAACTTGGGCATATTGAAATTATACGACGCAGGCATAGAACTTCAAGAAGAACACCAATTCCTACCTTATTTCCCTTGGTTCTCACGATGTTCTCTGAACATTACTGGATATCCCTTTTCGTGGGAACCAGAACATAAAAAAAGGATGGAGATCTTACCGAAATTACTGCCTGGGGAACCAACAACCTAGTTGAATTTGGCGGCATCAAAACTCAAGCTTGTATTTCTTCTAGAAAGGTAGAACTCCCAAAATTGCCAGGTTCCAGAGCTACCTCATGTAATACAAGTCAAAATAAGATGATTGGATTCGATTTATCAATATAACAAAATGTATCGTTTTTTCGTGAGATGAGTTCAAAGTTTACATGGAAAAACACAATATTGTACCCTGTTCAAAAATGAGTGGAACAAATTGGATGAAATTTTGATAAAAGTGCATTTCAGAGGACCTTCCTTTTGGTAATCAGAGAAACCCAGAAGGAATTGTAGAAGGGTTGAAACCACCCTCATCCTCTGAAATTTTTTTCCGAACAGTCTTAGGGGTCGTAATATACGGTTCTCAAATTTTCTGAGCTATTATAGATGATTAATTATCTTCGTCACCCTTTTGAAAATTTCGTATTCCGCATAGTTCCGAAGGAAAACAATGTTTTCTTGAATAATACTAACAGATTCTCCTAGTAAAAGTTTAATATAATTATAATGAAAATTTTTGTTGACATTGGAAACAAAGGCAGACCTTTTAATCAATATCAATATGCCTTTTCTTGGTATTGTTCTTGTGTCCTTTCATCCTTTCTGAGAGAGGTCTCTTAGTTTCACCTGTATAATACTTTCCACAAACACAAGGTATACTAGAAATATATTTTTTTTTATTATTGTTCTTCATTATTCGGTTTTGTTTGAGTTAGAATGGATCTCATTGTATTTCCAGTTTTGAACACTGTTTTCACTTGGAACTTATCATAGGTAACTGAACATGTCCTTACTGAAAATGGACAATATATATGGCAGAGTGGAATAATATTGAAATCATAGGGAAGGAAGATAGCAACCAAAAGAGAAAAATCAAGGAATCTACTTGCATTCTTCTGAACAGAGACAATAGCATTGCTTCCTGTTCAGTTGATATAGATACAGAAAATGGTATTCACTACTGAACATGCTGTAACTCATTTGTATACTAACATCATCACTCATCCATATGCCAATATCATTATGTCACAGAGAAGTGCCAATCTGTAAGAACAGAATTTTCTAAGAAAAATATTTTGCATTTTTATGTTGAGAGCGTTCTCAAAACGTCCAAAGATAAGTAAAAATTCTATATTTTTCAATATATCTATATTTTTTCTCTTCAAACATTTTTACAACCAAAGTGTCACCGACAAGCTATTAAATTTTTCTTCTAGGTTTTCTGATAGAAACATTTGTTGAACGCTGTGACATTTTGGGACAAATCATCTGCTCCGTCCTACTACACATACAGTGTGTCTCACTTCTAATGGAAACACCCCTGTATCTTTCGTAATTGTTCAGTTAGGAATCTGAAATTTGGACACTATAACCAAGTGGTGTCATCTTCAGTTATATACACTGCTCACCAACAGCCATGGAACCACACACATCCGTAAAATGATATTAGGAGGCAAGATAGGTTAAAATCTCTTCTGATTCGAAATCAGGACGTCCAATTCACTAACTAATCAAATTATTTTTCCTGAAAAAATGTTCAGTTCTGAAAAATCTAATTTTGTCTCAGTTTTCATGGAAGCACCCCCGCATCTTACGTAATTATTGAGGTAGGGATCTGAATGCAGGAGAAAAGGATGGGCTAAAGATCACGTCAATGACATTAGAAGTTTTCATTTTTCAGAACTGAAAAATGTTCAGGAAAAAATTAAAAATCCGAAGTGATTTTCAACCTACCTTGCCTCCTAATATCATTTTACGGGAAATGTGGGTGGTTCCATGGCTGTTGGCGAGCATTGTATCTAACTGAAGATGACTCCACTGGGTTATAGTGTGTATTTGCAGTATACCTCTCGCTCCTGCAAATTTCAGAATCCTAGCTCAACAATTATCAAAGATACAGGGGTGTTTCCATTAGAAGTGAGACACACTGTATATATTGAAATAATACTAATATTTTTATTTCATAGAAACGAGGAGAGAAAATCCCGAATAATCAAGCGAAACAAAATTATAGGTACGCCACTGTTATTAACGGCGCGTATAGAAACAAACGGGGACGACTCCCACCATCTGCCATAAATAAAGACGCCGGATATTAATTATTGCTATAAAGATGGCGCTGCTGCTGCTGCTCTCGCCGTCCAAACTTGCGGCCATTGTCTATATCCGTATTTTATTACTCGGGCGCCAAAGGACTTATCTTATATAACACAGCTCATCGTGTCGCAAGTTGAGAAGAAAAGAGTTATCTCAACTTCGCCGGCGAGGGTTTGTTCTATTCTTCTAGAACAAAAAATGCAATATCTTTTTGATATAACAAATTTCATTTTCCTCATCAAATTCATTATACTTAGTGTATATATACAGATTGTCTCACTTCAGATGTCTCCTCTTCTCTTCAACTCGGCAAAATCGTATTTTTATACTGAAAAGTTGACCTTGCA